ATAACAATATTTTAGTTTTTGTATGCCTAGAATTTTTTCATGTTGCACATTATTTTAAAAAACATTGTAGAATGTTTTGTTTTTATCAAGCAGTCAAGCTACTCACTGATCACATTGGACTTGTGCAGGTTTGATTTTATGCTGTTAGAGAGACTCTCTGGGAAGTCCAAGGTGTTTCTCAAGCCCCTATTACTTGTAGAGTCAATCTTCAAGTTATTTCTTCCTCACTGATCTTTTAGGACTTGGTTTTCATTTGATTTGGGGTAGGTTTGAAGTCACCTTACTTTAGGGCTTGGTCTTTATTTCCAAAGTTTGCTTTCGATCCGTGCTAAATGTACATGGTATTAAAGAGGTGTTATGATATTTTCTTGACAATGTAAAAACAAAAAAGCAAAATGATGTAAACTCTAATCAAAACATTTGCAAGTCTCTCTTTTAGGTAATAAATAGGTCACGTAACCAGACAGTGGTGATGCCTTCAGGAAGAAGAGCCCCTATAGGTTGACTACCCTTTAGCTCCTTGGGACTTTATTCATTACCCTGGGAGAAGCTCCTTTCATTTCCAGAATGTCTTTGAAATTAGACGATGAAATTTACTTCCCACTGAACCTTTTTCCAAGTACTAACCAGACTTGGTTTTTTTAAGAAAGATTTCAGTTGAGGAATGAGAACAAAGGTCATAATAGCTTTCTGATCCCCATTAACTTCAATTTCCTTGGCCGCTGTTGTATTCAGCTCCCTTAGCTGGGTCTTCGGGCCTGAATTCATCTCCAGCTACAAGAGTGCCTAAGAGATGCTGCACTAAACTCACCTGGCTTTTTGGGCTTCACAGTCTTCATGCTCTAACTGAACATGTCCTCCTTGCTGAGCACTGGCCAACGAAGATAATACTCTATTTTTATAATTTCTTCAGCGATGGGTTGAATATAATGAGATATTAAGGTGTTAAAATTTCAGCCAATGAGGTTACAGTTCAGTTCATAACCCGTTTCATCAACCTTACCCTCTTTAATGTCATTCAAATGTATTCTATCCTCCCCACTTTCACTGCACAATCTCTGTCCAGGCTTCTGTAATTACCTACTTGGTTTACTGACACTGATCTCCTAGTATCTACATAGCAGCTATATAGAGAATAACAGCATTTTAAAAACGCAAATGTCATTACTTGGAGTGTAAAATCTTCCTCTGTATTAAGAAGTAGAAATTATTTATAGATGAAAGGAACAAGAGAGGGGAAAAGAACTATCCTTGACAGAGAACAAAAAAAGCATAACACTGTGAACAGCTGGGTGTGGTGTGGGAAAGAGGATTCAGGAAAAGCACAGACGTCTGAAAATCTAGTTGGAAGAGCCCTCAGAGCATCTTTATAGGTTGGACGGATGGGGATTGTTAAGAGAAGCAGGAAACGTAAGTGAGGCTACTTCACAAAGGGCCTGTGAGCCACGGAAGGAGTTCGACTTTTATCCTAACACTGTGGTTCTTAAACTTTCATGTGCATTCAACCCACTTGGAGCTCTTGTTAAAATGCAGACTTGTTCACTAGGTTTAGAACAGAGCTTGCTTTTCTTCTGTGGTTCAAATGGAGGTTTTGTTTTTGTTTTTTTACATTTTAGTACTTAGGACCAATCAATAAAATTAACTCCTCTGAGTTTGGTGTTAGGCACCCAGGAAACCACTCCCATTCAGACAGCAGTTGGATTTTCTAGTTGGAACACAGCCAGGTTTCAAAGTAGACTATGCTCTGTTGTCTCTCTGGCCAGAGCAGGTCAGTCAGGAAAAGTGACTGCTGTCTGAGACTCTCGGATCCGGTTTCACATTCTTTCATAGGTAAAATCTGGCTAGACTGAAGGGCAGCTTTGAAGTCACACATCAGCTGGAGATGTGCAACATAAGGGAGGGTGGGGAGGAAGACTTACTGAGGACCGGATGAAGGCATGCTATGAATGAAGAACTCTTGCACATGAGCTGGCAAAGCTTATTGCTGACCAGCTACCTCAGTTCCAAGCAGCCCATTCCCGGACAATCTGTCTGTTCGCCACATGGAACATTTAGCTCTCCGTGTGATACTAAATGCTGGCGGGTCTGAGGATAAAGCAGTGGGGAACAGGATTCACAGAGCTTCTTTATTCTTGTCCTTTATTTTAATGAGTCATAAATGGTTTCACAAGCCACTGATGTGATGGAAAATAGATCTATAAGGCAGCTAATGGTTTTCCCCAGGTCAGTGCGTCCTAAACCAGCCTCCACTTCCTTCTAGTGTTTATTTACATGCCCAGCACTCCCCAAATAAGGCTTATTTTTCACTAATTTTTTAATTAGACTTCAGCACCTGGCGGCTGCAAGCTAATGCAGTTACAGCCAAGAATCTCTTAACAGTTTCTCCTGATTGTTATCTTTCTGTGACATTGTTTAATTAGACTCTGAGTAAGTAAAGGATTATGACAAACATCTAGTTCAAAATTACTTTAAATCTTACTTTCTAGACTCACTAATATTGACAAAATTTTTTCCTTCTTTTCCTTTACTTTGTAAAGTTAATTTTTTGACAATTCTTTCATGGTACAGTGGGATAACTAATTGGAAGTAGAACATTGCTGAATAAATATTAAAACAAGCTTTTTCTAACTATCACATTTGTGAAAATTCAGTTACCACATATGGGTTTGTCTTCATAGATCAATTTTTTCAAATGTTTTTATTTTGGAAAGATGATGTTCACAGTGGAAATTTCTTAGAGAATATCTAGTGAGTGGATTCTTCTACAGTCCCCATATTTCTCCTCTGAAGGACTGAGTTTTAGAAAAGTTCTTTGACCTTGATCAGAACCAACTATGGGTAGAGACAGGATAAATCTTTTGCAAAGTCAGAGCTTTGCAACTTTCTTCACCATGAGAATCACTTGGGGTGCTCATTAAAAATAACACTTTTTTTCTTGAATGCATCAAGAATGATATAATGAGAATGTTCAGGAGAGAAATCTAGTGTGTTAAGGTACTCCAGAGAAACAAAACAAATATGATTTGTAAGTGGGGGTGAGAGGAGGGAATGTATGTATATATGTGGAAATTTATGAGAAATTTACTTACATACTATGTGGGGCTTTTCTGCCTCCAATATACCATCTGCAAGCTAGAGAACCAAGGAAGTTTGTGGTATAATTTAGCAGGAGTCTGAAGGCCTGAGAACCAGAGCAGTTGATGCTGTAAATCCCAGTCTGAGGAGCAGAGAAGATTAGATGAGATGCAATGTCCCAGCTCAATCAGCGAGGCAGGAAATGGGGCCAATTCCTCCTTCCTCTACTTTTTGTTCCACAGATTGGATGATGCCCACCCATACTGGGGCAGGAACTCTATTGACTCTGCTGGTTTTATCTGGTAACATTCTCACAGCCGCTCCCAGAAATAATGTTCACTAAACACCCATGGCTCACTCAAGTTGATAGAAAATTACCCATCACAAGTCCGCCTGTTGTCAACTTGGTACCCATCCACATCTTACTTAAACCATACTTCATCAAATAACATGGTCATAATTCTGCCTATCGTAAGACAAATATGCTCTGTCCAACAAAAATGCACCATGTTCTTCCCCAGAAGAGTTAAAGTCCTTAAGTTTACTCTTCTCCATGATATCCCATAACTTCATGCTAGGGCTGGCCCTGCCCCAGCACAGTCCAGGACCTCCAGGCTCTTGACTCAAACAGGAAAGAATTCAAGAACAAGTGTGCGTGAGAGTGAAAGCAAGTTTTATTCAGGCAAAGAAAAACAGGCTGGGACTCAGGTTCCTGGGGAAGAGATCAGAGGCTGAGTCACCTGCTGTCCCCCTGGTTACAAATCTCACAGGGCACCACTGTGAAAGTAAAAGTATACCTCCGAGTGGCTGTGAGTGATCTGGTGAGTTGCTTGTGGGGTCAGTCAGTTCTTGGGGTTTTATGTGTTTCCAAGGGTGGTTTGTTTCTGAATTTTATGATGCCCAACTCTGACTGCTTTCTAGTTGGGAGGGGTCTTGTCCCTAATATGATCTGTTCCAGGAGTGTAGGCATTTGCATCCCTTGAACTTCCTTCCATGTGTGGTGTCAGTTTTCATTACAATGATGGCATAATGAGCTTTGGGGTCAGTCTCTGGTCAATTTTTCCTCCATCTTGGATTGATCTGGTTTTCGCCTGTCCTTGTTGTTGTTGACTTCTGTGACCACTGCAGGGGTTTTCTGCCTCAGCTGTTTTCCCTTCGATCATGCGTGGAGGTGGGGGCTCTGATGAGAGGACCTAGAGCAGTGGTTCTCAACCTTCCTAATGCCGCGACCCTTTAATACAGTTCCTCATGTTGTGGTGACCCCCAATTTCATTGTTACAAATCGAACATAATTAAAGCATAGTGATTAATCACAAAAACAATATGTAATTATATATATGTTTTCCGATGGTCTTAGGCCACCCCTGCTTTAATTATGTTCAATTTGTAACAATGAAAATACATCCTGCATATCAGATATTTACATTACGATTCATAACAGTAGCAAAATTACAGTTATGAAGTAGCAACGAAAATAATTTTATGGTTGGGGGTCACCACAACATGAGGAACTGTATTAAAGGGTCGCGGCATTAGGAAGGTTGAGGACCACTGTAATATAGTAGATTAAAAAAAACTAACCAATTTATTATTACAACTACATTTCTTATTGTTATTTTGCCATTTTAGGATTTGCTATAATGTAAATTATTGGAAAACTTACCAGCAGGTGGTAGTACTGTTTAACAAATATACCCTCAGATCATAAAACAAGCAATTGTGAATAAAAAAAATGGCTGCAAGTACAGCAATACTCAAATATGTCAGAATATTGGATTGTGATTCAGAAAACTTAACTCCTGGTGCCCGTTATATTACTTGTTGGCCTCATCATTTTGCAAAAATAATTTTGTCTTGGAGTGTTTAAATAACATTATAAGTAAAGTTGGGCTAATAACTGTCCTTACTTGTGTTGTTTTAAAGGTAGGAACAGGGCTCTGCTTCTCAGTGTCCCGGTGGTCGCTTCAGGCCCCTTGGAGGGAAAGCTGCCCTCGGTTCCCACCGATGCCAGACGGTCCACTTCTCCCGTATGAGTCTGGGTCCCTAGAGACTCGCCCGGAGCCTGAGACTCCCTCCCGATTGAAGGCGGCAACCGCGCCCTCAGCCGCCAGCCCGCTCCTCCTGCGCCTCTTTACCTTAGTATTTTGGGTCTGCACCGCCCTCCTCTGAGTCTCGGTATGTGTTTCTCTAGAGTTTCCCCTCAGCCAGCCTTCCTGTGGTTCTGGATGATGTCCTTTCCGTCTCTTGGTTGTATTTTTGAAGTGGTTGTGCGAGGCAGCAATCTCCGGTGTTCGCCTATGCTGCCATCTCGGTTTCTCCTCCGGTATAGGTTTAAAGTCCTACAATGGGCTCCTCTCTGAGGGGCCATGGCTAGGCCCCGGGGGCATGGCTGGACTCTTGGGCGGGATGAGCCAGCTTAAAGCCAGGCTGAGGGGCAGCAGCTGGCTGTTACACTGGAGGCATGGAGTGCGCTTGCCTCTGTGGCCTGGGCTCTTCGCGGGGACGTCAGTGTCGTCAGGAGTGCCAGGGCCCAGCTGAGATGGCAGCGGCCGATGGCAAACCGGCCCTGGCCCCGGCAGAAAAGCACGTGGAGGCGGACGTGGCAGCACGGTGCTGTGCGGAGAGTGGAGGAATCGCAAGCCCCATGCCGCCCCCGCACTGCTCGCTGCAGGACCTGCCGGTGGAGATGCTGGTGGAGATCTTCGCCTCGCTCCCCAGCACCGACCTGGCCAGCCTGGCCCAGGCCTGCACCAAATTCCACCACATCCTGCACACCGACAGCATCTGGAGACGGCGCTGCCGGGAGGAGTTTGGCATTCGTGAAAACTTGCAGAACCTGGAGATGATCAGTATGTCTTATCAAGAAGTCTATGCGAAGCTGTTCCACCCATACAGACACATTTTGGGGTTGTGGCAGCTAGATCGTGCCTATAGAACACTGCTGAACGTCGTGGTGGACGGCTTATGCATTACTGGTTGGATGTGCAAGCTTTCCCTTGACACCCATGTGGATGGCCCAATGCATTTCAAGGCCTCGTTCAGAATTCGCCTGACGGAGAGGAAATCAGCCACGGTGGAGTGCATGGAAGGCCGCCTCAGCAGGCCCCACCACGGCCACATTCTGATTGAGAAGGACAGGTTCACCACCCTGTGCAAGATGACAGACCACCAAGCGGATTCACTGGCGTGGCTTTGGGGAGGACAGAGTTGGGCGCTGGTGAAGGAGGACAGCCTGACCTACCGCCGCCTCTACCTCCCGCCGAGCCACCCGGACGACCTCATCAGGCCAGGCCTCTTCCGAGGCAACTGCGATGCCTTCGGCCTACAGATTGCCATGCTCAGCTTCCATGGGAAGTATGCCAGGGTCACGAGGGTCACCGGAACAGCCAAGGTGTTAGAGATCCACCTCATGCACCGCATCCAGCTGCGAGATGGCGAAATCTTCCGCAACTTCAACGAGCTCTCCCGCGTGGTCGAGGAGATCGGCAAGCAGGTGATCCTGGAGCAGCAGCAGCAGCAGCAAGGAGACGGGACTGAGGAAAGCGAGGGCCATGGCTGGCAGAGCCCTGCCCAGCCCAGCGTGGGGGAGTTCGGGGCTGCAGCTGCGGAGGAGCAGCCTGTCCCGTTTGTTCTGCCAGTGGGCGTGCGCTCAAGAGACCAGAACTACCCCCGAACCTGCAGGATGTGTTTCTATGGCGTGGACACTGTTACTGATACCTTAGGAAGTGGCTTCACCTTCACCTGTCGCTTACCTGGAGTCTTCCTCCTGTTTGATGAGAACCACTTTGGGTTCATCTGGCTGAAGGCGAAATACTTCTTCCTATACCGCAGAGTCCAGAACACTTTCCAGAATGTGGAGGCACCATCCCCACAGGCCTTCCTGGAGATGCTCAAGAACATTCAGTCCATGCCCTAACCGGTTTGGCTCAGTGGATAGAGTATCGGCCTGCAGACTCAAGGGTCCCGGGTTTGATTCCAGTCAAGGGCATGTACCTTGGTTGCAGGCACAAACCCAGTGGGAAGTGTGCAGGAGGCAGCTGATCGACGTTTCTCTCTCATCGATGTTTCTAACTCTCTGTCCCTCTCCCTTCCTTTCTGTAAAAAATCAATAAAATATATTAAAAAATAAATATAAATAAAGGTAGGAACAGAATGATTGTGAAATCAAGGGAAGCGTAGAATGCTGGGTAAATGCAGATGTCAGTTCTCCTTTTCCCCCTCTTGTTGTTCAGGCATTTATTCTAAGATGTTTTCTTCCTAGCAACAGTGGTGGTCATCATGGTGGACCTCAAAAGGACGATACTCATTCAGTCAGTGACTTCCCATTATCCAGATGTCCAACTGTGCTTTGACTTTTCAATTCTATTCCACTTCCATGTGGTGTAAGATGACAAAACCCTATGTTTGTTGGGTCTGAGGAAAAGCAGCGCTAGCCTCTGAATACATTCCTGTGCATAACTGTTGCTTGTCTTTGCACGACCATGGACTAGAGAGGAGAAGTCTAAGAGAAACCTAACAATTTCAAGGATTATTTTAAAAGAAGTAGCATCTACTAGAATATGCCCTGGCATATTTAAAAGTATAAGGAGTATAGTGAGCCAGTAGTTCACCTTTATTGAGTATTTATTATGTGCAGGGAAGTGTACTAACCACTAATAAAATGCAAAGATATAGAACCCAGGGCTCTTAAAACTGAATTTCTATTCTTTGTGTTAGTTTTTTTTTTTCATTTAATAGGTATTTATTGATCACATTCAATAGATTGCACACTTTACTAGGTGCTGGGAATACAAGACATGTAATATTTAAAGTTGCAGACCACCTATAAACAAGAGCAAACCAGTGTAGTACAGAAGGCCAGAGAGAGGCCATGAAAGGGAACGCACAGCCGGTGGCTGTTTACATTAAAGCTAACCTGGAGAAGACTGAAGAAGAGGAGAGATTCCAGGAGGAGAAAGCACCTATGAGAGCAGGCATTTGATGTGGATGCAGTAGAGTATAATTGAGTATATGCTTTGGAGCCAGAATGAGCTGGAAAGAATATTAAAACTAAGAAGAATTTGGAGTAATCAGCATGTTTACAAAATCGGCAGCTTCTTTCTATGCTCATTATATCTAGTTAGAAAATGTTAAATAAAACCTATTCACAATGACAATAAACTAGTAAGATAGTGAGAGATAAATTTAACAATATAAGTGAACAGGACTTATGTATTTGAAAGTTTAAAAACATAGAATGAGATTTTAATAAGTAGAATGAGTTCATTGTTCTTAGACAGTAAATTGGTATTCTAGAGATTGCAACTCTCTAAATCATGTAAATTCAATATTGTGACAATAAAGAGAATAAAGTGAGTGTAACTTCAACTAATGAGGAAAGCACTCAAAAAGGCAGAAAACTTAAGAAAAAGGAGAATTGAAAGCCCACTAATATTACAGTAAGACTTATAGTTCATAGAGTTTCACTACAGAAGATAATTGTATTATACTTTCTGAGAATATAGATAGATCAGTGTATAAAAGAAAGGAAGCTAAACTATAAAATAAACCAACACAGATGTGAAAATTTAGTAGTATATGATGACAGTGGAAAACCTGGGTAGTTTGAGAAAAAGCTGAAATTCTACCTCAGACATTCTACTGAACACACAACGTACACACATACCCTATGTCCTATACCCTAGATCACAAATTTAAAAGTAAAAAAGACCAAAAAAAACCCAAAAAACTGTTCCTTGGGAAGTATGGGCTTTTTTTCTATAATATTTCTGTGGGAAGCTCCAGACACAAAATTCATACTCCATACATTTAAAAAATGATACATTTGACCACATGAACATGTAAACGTTCTTGATGATAAAAAAATATTAGTCAAAATAAAAGTACCAGCCTGAGAAAGATATTTACAACCCCTAATGCAAAGTCCAGTTTTCTTATTGAGAACTGTGTTCATTGTATTCACATCTTCCCCTCGTTTCAGCAACTCTGGAATGAGGATGTCCGGAAGCTTCCTGGTGTCATCTGTAGAAACAGATGTCTGTGGGAGGAGAGGGAAGGTTGGAATATCAGACTCCTTTAGCAACATTCCTGCAGCTGGCTGGGGTCAAGAGCAGGCTAGAATGTCAACAACATTAAATGTCAGCTTAAGAGCCCAGCCCTGCAGGCTTTTAGTTCTTTGAGTAACTGATTAAAAGAAATACTTGAATACCAGTCCTCTGATTGCACAGAGACACCGTTATATGGAAAACCATGAACACGGAGGACTCTGTTGCAATGATTCTGAAGAGTCAGACATTGGAGAAATTTGGTTTATTTCCTGTCTATATGTGAAAGAGTGAAACATGACAAAAATATCTGCCTACTTAGGGTAAAAGGATTATTTAATATATTCAAATTAAAAATTATATCTGATAAAAAAGCACTGTTTCTTAACTTAAAGGACAGATTTTTTGGTTACAATTAATGATGTCTTAGATTTGATGAAATGTGGAATATAATGAGCTTCTACAAATCAATGAAAGATAAACAAGCCAAATTCACATTTAAATATAAATGGCACTGCCCTAACCGGTTTGGCTCAGTGGATAGAGCATCGACCTGCGGACTGAGGGGTACCAGGTTCGATTCCAGCCAAGGGCATGTGCCTTGGTTGCGGGCACATCCCCAGTGGGGAGTGTGCAGGAGACAGCTGATTGATGTTCCTCTCTCATCGATGTTTCTAACTCTCTATCCCTCTCCCTTCCTCTCTGTGAAAAATCAATAAAATATATTTTTTAAAAATAAATACAAATGGCACTGAAAATGAATTTTCAAAACACTAATACCTATTAATGTTTTGAAAATTAAAATTAAAACAAAAATGAAATGCCATTTCACCTATCACATTCTCCAAAGATCAAATATATTGTGGGTGAGGGTATATATAAACAGACATCCTCAAAGTTTTGCTGGTGGATTAACTCTAACAAATTTGATTGAGCTCTATCAGAATTAGGAACACAAATTTTGACAAGCAATGCAGTATTACAAAATTATCCAAAGATATATTCATACAGATATAACCCCAGAAAGAGGGTCCCTGCATTGTTTTTAATTATAAAAGCATTTCTACTGTTAATGATTGGTTGGATAAATTATGGGACATCCAATCAATGTAATATCATTTAGTCCTTTCAGTGAAGCAGATGTTTTTGAGTTAACAGAAATATTTTCAAAGTATATTTTTGGCAAAAAGATCAGGTTCAGAATAGTACCTATGTATATATAAAGTATGCTTTCATTTGTGGAGAAAAACAAATAAAATATATATTCACACAATTACACAACATTTTAGAGCAGCGGTTCTCAACCTGTGGTCGAACGACCCTTTCACAGGGGTCGCCTAAGACCGTCGGAAAACACATATATAATTACATATTGTTTTTGTGATTAATCACTATGCTTTAATTATGTTCAATTTGGAACAATGAAATTGGGGGTCACCACAACATGAGGAACTGTATTAAAGGGTGGCAGCATTAGGAAGGTTGAGAACCACTGTTTTAGAGGAATATGCCAGTGACAGTATTATTTTTTCAATCAAAACGCTAGTTCAAAAAAAAAAAAAAAGAATAGACAAAAGGTCATGCGACATTTTGGACTTTTAAGTAGCTTCCAGCACATGTGCACAGACTCAGAGCTAGAGGATGAAGCTGGCATCTATTACCTTGCGCCTGTTTAAGGTCTTTTATTTTCTTGGTGTGTGCATCCTGCCAAGAAAACCCCACTCCCATGCCTTTGCAAGTACTTGGTCTGTTTCAGCCAAAGGTGACTGCTGTGCTCAGTGCTCTGATGGTTTTTATAGGCCTGTCAGGGATTTTTCTGTTGAAAGATGCAGTTCTGGTTTTATGGTTTGGTTTGGTTTGGTTTTCCTCTCTGCATGAGCTCTCTCTTTGGAAATATGTCATGAGGTTCCACCCATTAAAGGTAGATATTTCTTTTTTGTCCTCCCTGTGCTCTCAGACGTGTTGCTGTCAGGGATTGCCGGAGGAAGCAATGTTGTCACTGCGGCTGGAATGTGTCCTTTCTTTCTGGTGGCTGTTAGGACAAGCACTCTTATTTTCGCTCTTGCCTGAGTTGAATGATTTATGACTGAACTATTTAATTTTGGGAACACTTGACATTTTTTATCTGCCGTCCATCAACCCTTTGGAATTACTTTGCTTGGTAGATTGAAACACTGTTTCATTCCCCTGCAGATATTTTCAGTTTTCCTTGTCAAGGAAATAGAGCCCTGGGGTTACCCACGAGAGTTACCTGAGAGGTAAGCAGACGGCTTTCAGAGGTAGGCACAACCAGGACACTGCCAGGAATGTCTGTGAGGAACAATGTCCCTGCTAGCATTAAGTTCTTACAAAATAACTTCTCTTTTTCTTATGCATTTTACTTTTGTCATAATGGTAAAACTAACCAAAAAATCCTAGAATTATCTTACCTTCCTTAGAAAGGAAGTTGTATCTATAAGAAACCCAAAGAAATAATAAACATTTGCTGTTGTCATGAATAGAGGTGGCTTTGTTGGGCTATGACAAAAGTTGTCCTGCTTTAATTTCAGTTCTTCAGCTAAAAACATTTCAAAATTTCTATTTACAGTTTAACATTTTTGCTCTAACACTCCACGATAGATTCGTCCTTCTTTCGTGAATGCAAGAGAGTTAAACCTCAGCAGCCTTTGTGACATTCTGACAATGAAATTGGTAAATGGATCCGATATTATCGATACTTAAGGATAGTTAAGAAATCTTGGTTATCCAGTAATCAATGCGACAAAGCCTTTCGTGTCTACGTTTGTTCTATTTAACTATAAACTGAAGGGTTAATTAGGCTGTCTGACTTGACCAGACACGGATTTACTGTTTTACTTCCTATTATTGTTAGGAGTGTGTCTCTGGCCTGGAGGCTTAATGCCGAAAGAGGATATGACACGCTGCAATGTTAGTTCATCATGATGAGTAGATACTGGAGTGAAAACAGCTGTTCTCTTTAAACTGAGCTAAAAGTAAGTGTTAAGATATCTGGCTTTATTATTGGGCCTATTGAGCTGTGCTCCCTGGTGTCCAGAAATCGGTGCAGAATTAATCACCTTGTCCCTAGCAAAACTTCTGAGGCAATGTTTAAAGAACAAAATTTGGGTTTTATTAAGCCCGGGAGTTTTCTAAAACAAGAAAATGGAACATATAAAGAAAAGATAATTTTTCTTTCCATTATGTAATATGTAATTGTCTCTTATATAAGGCATATTCAGGTACTAACATTATGTTCTCTTCACCTCCTTGTGTCCTCCTTAATGGCAGAAAACCTCTTTCATATTAGAACACATAAGACAAATCACTTCTCTAAAGTTTGAGAACCTAGAACAGCGGTTCTCAACCTGGGGTCGCGACCCCTTTGGCGGTTGAACGACTCTTTCACAGGGGTCACCTAAGATCATCCTGCATATCAGATATTTACATTACGATTCATAACAGTAGCAACATTACAGTTATGAAGTAGCAACGAAAATAAATTTATGGTTGGGGGTCACAACATGAGGAACTGTATTTAAAGGGCCAGACGGTTGAGAACCACTGACCTAGAAGTTATTCCTGTCCCCAATTCTACTTTTTAGAGGATATACTGTACTTGAATTGCCCTGAGAATCTTAAGAGCATACCTTTATTCATTCAACATATATCTGTTGTGTCCCTACTATGTACCAGGTTCTCTTCTATGCTTTGAGAATACAACAATAAATGAGATAAGGACTCTACTTTCAGAACTTATATTCTGCAACTAATTATAATCTTCCATAGACTCAGGAACTAAGACCCTCTTTTCCCAGTTGAGGTTTCTTAGACTATCACTTACCATTTTAAAATAACTTACTGGAAAGGCACTCTTACACATTCCTTCCATATTTTATTCCCTGATCTCTTAACACTTACTTTTAGAAAGAAAATTCCCGAGTCTAATTTTCCTTTTTCTATTCTTAAGAAGTGGAGCATTGCCAGTGTGAAGCCTCTATAAAAAATGATTCTTAAACTGGAGATCTTACTAAGATGCAGATTGTGATGCACTGTCTCTGGGGTGGGGCCCAAGGTTATTCTGCATTTCCAGCAGGCCTCCAGGGGTGCTAAGCACTGATCCATGGGCCAAGCTCTATACAACAGTATGGGTTAACTGTACTGCAGGTCCCCTCTATGACTCCATGACACAATTCTGTAAACTTCCTTGTTAATTTCACTCTTCACAGTAAAAATTGTCAGACAAGACTCTCCAAGGTAGTGGTTATTTATGAAGAGCCACTGCACAGCAGAGGCAATACGCACCTTTACGGTGAAGATTATGGTCATTCAGTGTAACATGGTTGTTAAGAGTTTGGGATGTAGAATCAGAAAGTCCCCATTACCTATGGAACATTTAGCAAGTTACTTAACCTCTCTAAACCCGTTTCTTCAACTGTAAAGTGGGGGTGACTGATGTTACTTGCTATATAGGGTGGTTATGGAAATGAAATGAGATGATGCATGTAAAAAGCCCACTTGGTTTCTGGCATGTGTTTTGTGTTTAATAAATGCTAGCTTTCCCATTATTATAGTATACAAAGGCTATAGAAGATAAAAAAAATAAGGAGGGGTTTTGTTTTGTTTTTATCCTGTCCTTAGAGAAGACATAATTTGGTGTGTGTGTTAACTAATCCAAGGTGAAGAGAGATTGGTAAAGAAGAACAGAAAGTGCAATTGGAGCCAGGAGAGGACGCAATTATTTTCACTTTAAGAACATGACAGCGGGCCCTTACTGAGAACCCCCTGTGCATCAGTCAGTCAGCGGCCTAGTGCTTTGCATACGTTATTTAATCCTCACAATAACCCTGTGGTAGGTTAAACCTCCAATCTCACTTACTAGAGAGGAAACTGTGAAGAGAAAGATTCACTTGTCCATAACTAGGAAGTAGTTGATCGAGATGTCTGACTCCAGGATCCCCACCTACTCACTGCTTGTGCTATTCTGATCTAAAAGGACAAAACTGCCGTAGCCGGTTTGGCTCAGTGGAGAGCATTGGCCTACGGACTGAAGGATCCCAGGTTCGATTCCGGTCAAGGGCACATGCCCAGGTTGCAGGCTCAATCCCCAGTAGGGGATGTACAGGAGGCAGCCAATCAATGATTCTCTTTCATCATTGATGTTTCTTTCTCTCCCTCTCTGGAATTCATAGAAATATATATTTTTTTAAAAAGACAAAACTTAGGGTAGTCTCTGAACTGGGTTTTAGCAATAGGCAATCCCAGAACCATGGTGTGAAAAGGTGATTGTGAAAGAGAGTACAGTGGGGCCTTGACTTACGAGTTTAATTCATTCCGTGACGGAGCTCGTAACTCAAATTACTTGTATGTCAGATCAGTTTTCACCATTACAATGACGCGTGATGCTGGGCTGATGTTGTGGTGTTCACTGTGATGTTCGCTGCGCCAAATAGCGGTGGGGTATCTGAAGCTGGCTCATAACCCGAATTTTAGCTCGCAACTCAAAGCAAAAAATCGGCCAAGAGACGGCTTGTATCTCGAAGAACTCGTTAGTCGGGACACTCGTAAATCAAGGCCCCACTGTATAGGTACTGCGAATGGCATGAGCAAAGGCAGAGACTGGAAAATGGGAGTAATTAGGGAAAAGAGAAATATTTGAATTGATTGGGGCCTGCATTAATAGAATTGAGTGAATGGGCCAACTAACTTGTATTCTCTGAGATTTACTAATATGACATTAATATATAGGAAACAGAGACTGTTTTAGGGCTTTTTGGGTTCCAACTAATGGTGCTGTTTAGAAAAGACAACCTCATTGAAAAAGACCATAAGGCCTAGTAGTTAGCATGTAGTTAGGAAAAATGTTCCCTAAGGATATGAAAGACCTGCATTTTTCTGTGTTAGATTTCAGTGTAATGTATGCTTTCCTTTCCAAATGAATGGTTTATTCATCTATATAAACTTTCATCACCTAATGCTTCTGTAAGAGGAATAAATAATATCTAACTTCAGCAGCTATTTTCTTTGTTGTAACATTGGGATTATTTGTTCTCTTACTCAGCTTAGAGAATAGGCTCTGTCTAGTCTGTTTTATTATCTTGGAACTTCAAAGACTAGATCTAAAAAGCATAGCTAGCCAATTGCTTCACTGTTTTCCTACTCCTAAAACTAACTCACTCTCTGTCTCTGTCATTCCCTCCCTCTCACTGGGCACACAGACATGATTCAAGAGACTTAGATATGTTTCTAGCTATACCATTCAATATGTGAACAATGTTGGACGAGCAGTTTTTATGTTCTTTGGATCTATTGCACTGCAGGGATAATGACTGAACTAAAGCAAGGTATTTGAGGGTAACATATGAAAAGTATTTTACATTTATCAGGATAACATTTTTTGTAGTTTTAAATGTTATTTCTAATATTCATGATCACTTTTTCCTTTATAGATATTATGTCCTAAGAAAAACAGCAGATAAATACCCTAAGTCTTTTTGTATTGACCTATTATTTTTGGTTATGAACCACAGTTAGCAGTATATCTGGCACCAGGAAGTAACTTTTAAAGTGGTAAAGAGCATGTGAGTAAGAAGCAGGGTTTTATAAGTTCTTAAGCTATGCTTTGCCTCTGAGGATCTGGGATAAAATAATAGGTAGGTCCTGTAGTTAAGAAGTGGTTTCTAAGTAAGTAACAGGAAACCTCTTGGAGTGCATAGAAGCCCTATAGAACAGAAATACCAGAAATCAACTTTACAGACAAATTTTAGCTTATTAATAATAAGTTCGGCTTTTTTTCTTGCCTGCTGTTTTTAAGGTAGCTAGAATACAAGGAATCCAATAGAAATCCAAAACTAAAAAGCAAAAGTTTGCACTGACTATTAAACTATAATTTGATGGTCAATGGTGACTGGTTGTTTGCTCTCAAACTTCATGGCACATGACAGCCCTGCTAGTTTCTCAGTAGTTAACCTATTAAAGCTCACTCTGGATTTTTTAAAAACAGATTTCCTTTGTTTTAACTTTTCTTCTCTAGTAAATTAAAGGACTAAGCTTATATGTCCTTAGACCTACTATCATTTTGTAGAGTGTAAATGCTTACCTATTAAAGAAATGGCATAACATCTACAGAAATTCCTTGATTTCTTATTGTTAAAACTGATCATTCTTAGATTTTATATATAAGACTTTCTATATAATATATGTATGTTCATTTATTCTGAAACTACATTCCGTACAATGTTTAGATATAGATGCCTCCTGGGGGAAGAAAATCTCAACTTTGGAGGAAGGAGAAAATAAAAATCCCAGCTCTGGGCTAAAGGGAAACCACACTGCTAGCCTCTGTTTAGGACGTTTTATGGGGAAGGACATCGGGCCAGGCCTTGGATATGCTCAAGGCAAGGACAAGCTGTAACTGTGAAGCTCCCGGTGTTTGTGATATACCTGAAGAGCCTCTGTCAGGGTGGATCAATCTGTGGTTTCAAGGAGGAGAAATGAGTAACTTTGCATCTATTACCTTCTATGTCAGGGGTTGTCAAAAGTTAGGTCTCGGGGCCTTTTTTACACTCTTAAATGTTAATAAAGGACCCCAAAGAACTTACTTTGGAAGATTTTAGAAGACACAGGATCCACAAGCATGTATTCCATTTGCTGTCAGGATGATGCTGGCAATAGAGGCTCTGGAGAATTTCACTGTAAGAGAATGAGTAGCAAAGGCAAATTACATTCAGTACTTACCTTAAAATAACTTGGCCCGATGAACCTCCAGGGGTCCCAAACGACACTTTGAAAACCATGGCTTGAAGCATTGTCTGGAGAAACAAGTTTGAACAAAGAGAACTGATCTTACTGAGTTTAACAATATGGTTTACTGTATTCATTGGGAAAATGTGTTGCATTCACCTTATGAGAACTGTGTGTGTGTGAGTGTAAATTTTTTTTGAAAGGCTAAGAAAGCACATCTCTCAGAGGTGGGGCTCCTGCCCAGACCAGACTTTCGGTCTCCTGAGTCCCAGGCCACTTCCTAGCTACAGTCTCCTGCTGACTCCCACTGAGGTGGTGGTATTATTCTATACTCAGGAATCAAATTAGGGGGGTGGGTGAATTACAGGCTTGAGGAGAAAGCCAGCTTCCCAGGCCGGAAGTTCCTCTGAAGGTTCAGGAACCAGAACCTCTTGAAGAAGGGTGGCGACTTGCACAGGAAAGATTAGGAACAGAAGTTCCCTCTGACAGAAAGGTAAAAGCTAGGGAGGGGAGTTTTCCATAATTGCTTTTCCTTTTCACTCCCAAAAATGTCACATTTAGCATACAGTTTTAAAGATATCTCCTCCCTCCTACACACATCTTTGTTATAATACTACATTGTAGATATTCCTGATTTTTCAGTAAAGTGGAGGTTTCAATATATAGAGAATAAAGTTCAGGTGAGAGAGAAAGGGCAGCATCGTCAGCTTCCCTTCCGCTGAGGTCAGCCGGCAGACAGGGCACAGTGTGCCGGGCAGCCAGCCTCGGCTTTGAACTCTGTCCGTGGAGGGTACAGTGCAGACACAGAGCTGACAGCAGAGGGGGTGCTGGGGAGCGGTTATGGGGATAACTGGAGAGTGAGACTAACCCACTTCCCTTTTCAAATACACAAGAGGAGGATGACCCCTAAAATTGCTTTCACTGTCATTCTCCTTTAAAAGTGACTTCCTTAGACATATCTTGGCAGTTGCAAATCAGTATCATCTTTTGGCCTTTAATGCAGATCTGAGACTCACAATCTTGAACAATATGAAAATCTAGCATGCTGGTTTTGAAGGGATTTCTCTTGCATCTAATTTTCAATTGATTGTCCTTTTTCACCTGCCAAAATGCTTTCTTGTCTCTCAATTATAGATTTAAATGGCAGGTAAATTTGTTCAGTATCTGTGCTAATAAGAGAAATAGCAGAACTACTGATCAAACTCTTTTAAAAACTCTTCTCTAATCTATAACCTGTGATTTATTTCTCAGGAACTGGCCTCTATTTTTGGTTAAAGGCAATGTGATAAAAGTCAAATCTCACATTAAAAAATGATGTATAAAGTACCTGGCTGGGTGGCTCAGTTGGTTGGAGCGTTGTCCCATACACTAAAAGGTTGCAGGTTCAATCGCCTGTCGCGGTGTGTACAAGAGGCAACTGATTGATGTTTCTCTCTCTCTGCCTTCCTCTCTCTAAAAAAAATAAAAACATATCATTGGATGAGATTTTTTTAAATGTTGTATATCTATCTCCTTTTTAATATAAGGATAGATATCCTAATACTTAATAAAAATTTATTTTATATTTAAGGATATAAATCTTTAATTTAAAAATATAATAAAACACATTATAAATTAAATATATTGAAACGTACTCTTTAATTAAGAGTGTCTACAATAGCACTGCTGGCAGGTAATATTACGTACCACATTCTATGCAACCATTCAAGTCTTCATCTCCCCAAAAATGTAATTACAGATCCAGCTGGCATTCAAAGCAAGTACTGTAGCCACATCTGCCTAATTCGTTTTATTGCAGCTATTCATCTTTTAAGTAGGGTGTTATAAAATATGCTAAAAATAAGTCATTCTTTATTTTTGTAACTAAAGTATAATTATTTTGCTATTTCAGTGGGCATAAAATTTAACAATTCCCCTGTATACAGAGTTCCAATTTTAATTAGTGCTATTCCAGATTACTGTTAGAACGCTTTTTTCATAGTTTCACTCTGTTGGTACAGTCTCTTACTTCTTCAATATGGGATATGAATAAGTGAGAACATTCCTTTTTTTCTCCCCTTTCTAGTGTTCCAAAGCAGGAGTTAATCATAAAATAATGGACTAGTAACATTGTAAAATATTTTAATGCGTCAAGGCAATTCAAAACTTCAAGTCCTTTTTCAATTGAGGTATAATATAAATGAAATATACTCAAGCATACATAGGTGTCAGTATCAGGAAACATAATGAAACTACTATATGATAGTATCATATTCATCACCCATTATTAACATTCTTCATCAACTCATAGTACTTAATGCTGACATTCAGCACTTCCCTTATTTTCACTACATTACATACAAAGCTTTTGCTGTGAGCTTTTAATTAAGTAATCAGGAAACCAAGCTAAAAGCTGTTCTACTTTTCCTCAGAAGGAGAAATAACAAAGTCAGAGATATATCAAAAAAGAAAAACGTACTCTTCATGGAATCCTCTGAAGCAGTTTAAGATAACTTTTCCTCCTATAAAGATAAAAAATCACAGAATGTTTAAAGTTTCTTCACTGTTCTTTGAGAAAAAAGTGGAAAGGAGAAAGGAAACATTAGCAGAGTAACTAGAAATCATATTAATACTGTGTTAATATTTCATTGAGGTATTCCTATAATTTGGACTTGTCTATAGAGTTATCAGCAAAAAAAATAAATAAATAAGAATAACTTAGAATCATGGCTGATTTTGTCTAAATCTCATGAAGTTTTTGTGCGTAACCTAACCATAATTGTTCAGAATAAATTAAATATAGATTTGTGTCGAATAAAAAGGTTTTAAGATGAAACCTTTAACAATAATTGTAGGTTTGTGAAAAGAAAACTTTGGGGGAAATTTTTAATGTGTGGTCAAGCTGCTAAGATTCAAAATGGATCAATTATGTAAATGGATTTAAAATATCAAAAGTAAGCTGAAGCAGACTTAGAGTTTGTTCCTCTTTCTGTTAAAAGGATGAAGTTTTTTGGACTGTGGGTCTGCTCCGGATAAGATATTGTGACAAGTTTTCTGCCTAGAAAACAAAGGTTCTATCTTTTATCAAAATAAGTTCCTGGGTTTTGTGTTGTCTTAATCAGGTCTTTGATTATGTAAGAAAACGGAATCCTTTCCATAGGAAAAGTTATGCTCTCGTTGACTTTCATGAAAAGGCAGCAGCAACAAAATGAAGCCCTTTCTCCTTCTGTGAAAATGACTCCTCATTGCCAGACTTTTGCTGTCGGGTGTCCTTGTAACGTGGCAGCAGTCTGCTCCTGAATCAGGGAAATTAATGTGGGTCAACAATGGCTGGACATTAAATGAATAGACAGGGCCTGGGCACCCCAAGATGGCTGCTTGCTTCTTCCCGGGCCCTGGCAACCCTCATTTTGGCATTCTTTCATGTACCAAAAGCATTTAAGCTGGACTTCATTCAACTGCCACTCGGTATGGGTTATCAGTATGCTCTTGTTGTTGGGTTTATATTTTCTGGAAGGGGCGATGCTTTCCCCTGCCACGAGGCTAAGGCTATTGCCTTCACAGTGACAAACTGTGCGAAAATGTTTCCCACTTGGGGTATACCTCAAGGCTTTTTACATACATAGCAGCCCCACCACATGCCACGGGATGGTGGCTTGGGACTTGTCATTGCTTTCCCTCCCAGCCTCTGATTGTGGGCTCATTACATGGATGACATGTTAACCTATGAAGATTTGCCTCTGCTGCAGAACACCTTGCGACCTTGCTGAACCACCTACAACAGTGAGGATGGGCAGTAAATCCAGAGAAAATTCAAGGTCCAGGCACCGCACTAACGTTCTTGGGAGTCATATGGTCAGGTAAGACCCACATTGTCCCTGAGTCTGTCACAGACATCCTACAAGCCTATCATTACCACGAAGTGTGAAAGAGGTGCAGGCTTCTGTGGGAATTTTGGGGTACTGGTGAATAGTTATACTCCATTTAGCATAATGCCTTCAGCCATTATATCACCTGGTTTAAAAGGGCCCTATATGGGGCTGGGGAGCCAAACAACAGGCTGTCTATGAAAAGGCAAAAAAAAATACTGGTCAACTAGATTAAAGCCCTTGGAATCCCCAGGTGGGGTTGACATTTGAATCAGATATTTCAGTAACGGGGGAAGGCATGGGCTGGGCATTATGGCAAAAAATAGCAGAAAGAGAGGATATCCCTTGGATTTGGGTCCCTATCGTGGAAGGGGGCAGAAATCAGTTACACCGTTACACTCACTAGAACTGCAATTAGTGGCAGTGTCTATAGATAGTGCTAACACGGGTGGAGCCTCTTACCAAAGAGAAGCCAGTTACAGAACTTCCCTTCCCATCAAGAACTGGATTGACAACATGTTCCACTGAACTGCATCTGCCACGGCTCAGACTCCTATGCTGACCACATGGCGAGTATTCCTGCAGCATAGGAGTACTACCCTCCAAATACTGCTGCTCCTATCCCTGTGTCAACCTCTGCAACCTGCAAAAAGAAGAGGAGAACTTCCAGCTGGGCCCTGGGACACCAACAGCTCAGCCAGGGTAATCCCTCTACCCAGATGGCAGCTTCCACCCAACCATCCACTGACACTACCTGGGCTGCTTGACGAGCTGTCTGGTTGGTGATCATACCTGAATCTTGGCCACTGATCCTGTGTACAGCCAGTTGGGTTATAGCTTAGACCAGTGATGGCAAACCTTTTGAGCTTGCCGTGTCAGCATTTTGAAAAACCCTAACTTAACTCTGGTGCCCTGTCACATATAGAAATGTTTTGATATTTGCAACCATAGTAAAACAAAGACTTATATTTTTGATATTTATTTTATATATTTAAATGCTATTTAACAAAGAAAAATCAACCAAAAAAATGAGTTCATGTGTCACCTCTGACACGCGTGTCATAGGTTCACCATCACTGGCTTAGACAGTAGAAACAGAGGAGTAAATAATTATGAACAAGCATTTATGGAGACAATAGATGTAGAAACATATTTGGACTCACTTGCAAGAGTCTGAGGCAGACCTTGTTTTCCATGTCCTTGTCCAGAAGGTGTCTCTACCTCCAGGAGGCAGATGACTTGGCAAAAATACATGCATTAGCAACTGACCTGTCAGTTGACCCTGTAGATTGGGTACACCGGAAGAGTGGACATCATAGTACCCAAATAGGATGGTGGATAGCTATAGAGGCAGGGCTGCCTTTAAAATATAGTGACCTGGTCAATAGAGTTACTGAATGGAGATTCCATCTCCTGTATAACCCACAGGCAACTGGGTTGGTCCGACGGAAAAATGGTGTCCTCAAACAGCAAAGTTATGAACTGAAAAACCTATTTGGGCCAGGTGGACAGACGTGCTTTCCCAACCACTAATACATTTAATAACCACCCTGTGGGCACACTTCTCCACACGTCAGGCTGGGAACTCAGCCTGAGTCACCCAGTAGGGAAAAGGTGTAGAAAACAAAGGACATAGCAGTAGATCCAATGTTTGCCAGGGCCAACAAGCTATCAAGGCACCAAATCCTATTGTCCCTGGAACGGAGACACTTACTGCAATCTGTAAAGGGACTTTCCACTGGGATGGGTCAGGTACTTCATGCTCCTGCATGGGAAGAACTGCTCGATCTCTGGTGGGACCCATGGAAACACACTATTCATAGACCAGTTCATGCAACATTAAAAGAGGAGAGAAGGTAAGGGTCCTGGCCTAGTATATTCTTCTCCTTACCTACCCGGCTCACACCAGAAAAAAATCACTTCCCCTGGCCGGATTTCCATGGCTGCAGCCATGTTAACATCTAAGATTATGGTGCAAATAAAATTGTCATCACCCTACTAAATATTTAGCTTTCTGATCTGAGATTTATTTCTACTGTTCCTGTGCCACATCCAAACTGAATGTTGTGTTTTTATACCATATAAGTCTGCTAATATTGCTTCTCTGTTAACACATGAAAACTCAAATGCTTTAAGTGATCTGACCCCCAGCCTAGGTGAGCTATTAAATCACTGGTTTGGGGCCTAGAGGACATGATGGGGGGAAATGTTACTAATACCTGGACTGCTGCTTTTCATTTTTCTCTTTTCTGTATCTGTCTGTACGGTTGCAGCAGATTGTCTCTCCAATATGGTCAATTGGCGATTAAGCAAGCTACTTCCCTGCTACTGAAGCCCCTTGCTGACCACTCGGAGCACCTGGCGGCAGAAAGGGGCAAGGGAGATTGTAAGAGCCAGTCCCGGGCGGGGGAGTGTGAAGGACACTGTTCTATGATATGATCGCTCTCTGCCCCAAAGCTGGGCCTGGGCCAGAACAGGTTGCTTTCCACAAACCCTCCTTAGAGACAGAATGAATAGCAGTTATGATCAGACAAACATAAATCAGCACCTCTCCCTTGCCTCCTCCTGTGTGCCAGTTCCTGGAATAAGCTGTTTTCCTGACCTGGTCAAGCATGTAAAGATATTTTCTGTACAAGGGATAGTACCCATGACTATCCCTTTACCCTAAAAAAATTCTTGGATCTCTGTGATGCTTGGCAGGAACCAATTTCATCTTGCAGCTGCCCAAGACACACTTTGTATGTAAGTTTCCCTTAATAAGCCCCATTACTTACCAGCCTGCAGCGGCCAGCCTCTTTCTTCAGTCTAGGGAGGTAGATTTTCAGTTTGGGGTATTTTCCCTGGGTCTGCTTGCACAAGCCAGGGCCCAGGCTGTCTTGTGGATGGACGACTTGGGGTATATCAGGAGCTGGAACACCATGCCTGCATCAGTGGTGACCTCTGTCTGGTGATCTGTTCCCATGACAGTTTTCCCCACATGAGGGAAGAGAGGGTGTGGAAGGAAAAACAAGGCTAGAAATATAACCAAATAGTGCTAGTTTATCAGAGTGGAAGGTGACAAACACACCAAGATCTGTGCCCTCCCAAACATTAGTCATGCTATGCTGATGGCTCTCTGGAAGCCTGTGAACAATTATTACATCCATGACTCTTCTTAATTCAGTACATCCATGGTATTATTATAGCTTAAACATATTGCCAGCCTCCCAATAGTTCTGGCTCAAGTGGAATAGAAGGCAAAACAAAAACAGATGTAGAGACAGAGAAGCATCGATCAGATGCTCAAAACTCAGAGGGAAGATAGGGGAAGGTGGGGGTGAGGGGGAGAGAACAACCAAAGGACTTGTATGCATGCATATAAGCATAAGCGATGGATATGGACAACAGGGGGTGAGGGTAAGGGCAGGATTGGGGGGATGAGGGGTCATTGGGGGGATAAGGACACATTTATAATATCTTAATAAGGGGAAAAATTTTTAAAAAAGAAATTATGCCATCCCTTTTATAGCCTTACATTGGGAAAACTGATGAATTGTAGTGTTTATAATATAATAATGTCTATTGAATTTAGTGTCTATTTAATTGAAGCTAATGAGATCCCGATGGCATTTGTTGGTATATTCACAAACCTCCTCTCAATAACACTAGCGGTCCCCAGAATGGTCTACAATTGAGCTCAAGACAGCTGTCCTAGGAGGGCTGACTGTGGATTTATTTTGGTTTCTCTGCACTATAGTGGCAGCCCATCAACAGTTCTAGAATGTTCCTATCCGATTATGCTAAATGTCTGCTATTCATGTGAGAGGTGGAGATAATGCTACAGGCAAATCATAGCCTTGCCAGGACCCACATTTTGGCCCCAGCCCCCCAGAATAAGAAACTTCTTGTATTCTCTTCACACCATCCATGCCCCAAATACTACCCCCAAACCCACCCTGACATCTGAGGGATACTATGCTAATTTTAGAATAAACGACCACTAAGGTTGTATAATATGCAATATTAAGCATAGAAGTCAAAAGGGGCACCCACATTTTAAACTACATTTTCAACAAGTATAAGTGAAATGTTTCATAACATAGCAAAGTACTTGATATTGATTTCACTTACTTTTCACCTATATCTGCAGTAGTCTTAGGGAACAAACTGGGGAGAGAATAAGAGGGAATTTTCTTTTATATTTGAGTAAGACACTCAAATGTTACAATGAGCTTTACATTAATACACACACACACCCTGTATATGCCAACTTGTTAATGTCTACAAACAAAGACTACTAGAAGGAAAGGCCACAAAAGAATAGTTCAGTGGTTAGAGGGATTATAAGCAGTTTTAATGTGGTGCTATTCTATAATTTCTAGTTATAAGATTAAGAAAAAGTACATTATTTAATACCCACTAGAATTTTGGATCAAAATGGGTTCAAATGTGTGGCTACAGAGTAGCAGGGACCAGGAAAATGCAGATGGCAAGCTTTGTTCTAAATAAAGGATTAGAGTTGACTGTGGAAGACCTGAGGGTGGGGAAAGGACAGAACTTGCTCAAGTGACTATGACAAACTCTAACCTGAAGGCCCATACAGAGACAGACAGGACCTGGGGCACATTCCAAGTGCTCAACTGGCCTGGGCAGGATCCCCATGTCAAGCACTTGGCTTCTGACTTCGTTGCAGCCATTGGTGAGGTAGGACAGGCCCAGCAGGTGTCTCAGAGCGCCTCGCTGTCTTGGTGCTGGAAAAGAATGGACATTTGTTTCATGTTTTTCGCAAGGGTATGGTACAGGTTCTTGTTTTGGCCCAGTGATCCCACTTATAGGAATATATCCTAAGAAACCAGAAACACCAACCAGAAAGAATATATGCACCCCTCTGTTCACAGCAGCACAATTTACAATAGCCAAAATTTGGAAACAGCCCAATTACCTATCAGCAGATGAGTGGATTAAAAAGCTGTGGTATGAACTACCATGCGGCTGTAAAAAAGAAAACTCTTACTATTTGCAACAGCATGGATGGAGCTGGAGAGCATTATGCTAAGCAAAATAAGCCAGTCAGAGAAAGGTAAGTATCACATGATCTCACTCATATGTGGAATTTAATGAGCAACATAAACTGATGAACAAATACAGATCCAGAGACAGAGAAGCATGAAACAGATTGATGAATTTCAGAGGGAGGGCAGGGGGTTGGGAAGTGGGTGAGGATTGATTAACCAGCGAACTGATATGCATAGCCCATGGACACAGATGATAGAGTGGTGAAGGCCTGGGAGGGGTGTGTGCAGGGTAGAGGGGGGTCAATGGGGAAATTAAAAAAAAAAAGCAAAAGGGGACATTTGTAATACTTTCAATAATAAAGATAAATTTAAAAAAATAAAATAGACTTATTTTATATCCTGTGTTTGCTAATCCCAATATCTGAAGTCTTTGGAGGTCTAATCATACTGTTGGTTTCTGCCGTCTCTGAACTTGAAATTGCTAATATTGGGCTGAACTTAATTTGTCCTAATCCCAGTGGAGTTTGTTTTCACCAGAAAGCATTGTATTTATATTGAGGCAGGAATCTGGGAGCTTCGAACCATGCAACACTAACTCCTCAGCGTGTGCTTTTCTGGGCGACACAGGGACTACAGCATTGTTCCCACATCCATGAGGCTAATTTTAGGATTGCATTTTCAGGGGACACTTTTACCCCACGCTAAGGAAACTTTGGCAGCTTTCACTGGAGATAGAATTCTTAGGGACCTGGGTTATGTAAGGGTCTAACATAAACCCCCACACTACATGTGCCAAAGACTTGTCTTTTGTTCCTGAAGCCGTTAAGACCTGAGGCTGTAGGACCTCAGTATTGGCAGGTGTTCCTAGTAGCCTGCAGCTTCAGTATGCACTGTATCATCTGATTTCAGCTTCAATTTTTGGCCTCTGAACTCAACTCTAAAGTTTTTTAAAAGCCTGTTGTACTTTCCCCAGCATTTCTATGTATTTGTACTTAGAGTACTGAGTTCACTCTACTACCCAAAGACCTCCCATAGCATGCACATGCCTGACTTACTGTTTTCTTAGCCCCCTGAGGGGAGAGTCTCACCTGCTATATTACCAAGGGCCCACACTGCCTGTTCACACACAGTTATATGGGTGGAAGGGAAAACAGCTCACCCAAGGATTAAATGCCAGCCCCCCCCCCCCCCCGCCCTTTACACAATAGCTTCAGTCTGCTCTGAAGTCCCTGAAGCAACGTTGGCCAGAACCCAGGCTGCTTTAAACTACAAATAGGGGTAAAGTGATGACTTCAGGAATTCCACCTGCCTGGGCATGAGCTCCAACAATCAGTTTTAAAGGAGGGGTCCTTTCCCGGGACAGTGTTTTCCTTTGCAATGAAAAGGGAAGAACAAAAGCAAGCCACATGAGGCGGGTATGAAGAACTCTTCATAGATGTTCCTATCAAATGAGACGAACAGCTGGGCCACAGCTACTTAATATCCTAGAGTTTAGCCTATAGCACTTTTCAGTGATAAAGTAACATTTTTCCCTTCAGTTATTATCATAAAGATTCCTGTAGGGGCCAATTTAAATTAAGCAATTCATATCTGACAACACTGGCATATCTTAAGTTGTTCTTAAGGACATTGTAGAGGAGACATTTAGTCTCACTTTTGAATGAACTAGCCTTTTCTTATATTGTGCGGGCATTTTGCCACTGCCAAGAAACCAAATAGGCCACTGGAGCTCATTTCTAGCCATGAACCTGTAAATAAAAGAAGTCTGTTTGGCCATACCTGGCTTCCTGGATGGCCTGGAACATGGGTCTGGATCTGAGGCATTTGTACCATTGATTATTTCTTGCAAAATGAGGGCTGATCTGTAAGGAGATAAACATTCAGGTCAGAGTCTCTGCCAAAAGGAACCATGAAAGTCATCTAGTCTAGCCATCTATCTGATTAGAACAGGCTGGCTTGGACAGTATGTCCCAATCTTCATGCTGGTATACACTATTATGGGAGGAAAGAACATCTGGTGGTCTCATAGATCTCACATATGCAGACACCCTGCATGAGAAGTAATTCCTAACATCATTTAGATCCCCAGCACCATTTTATCTTGTGCAGTAAAAACCTGCTTGTGAATATCAGCAAAAAAAAAAAAAGGCAGATTAAGGACCTACGAAAATTCTGTCCTCTATAAAAGCAACAAGAAAGCTGATAAACATAGTCAGAATCAACTGTTTCAGAACTTTAGAAACTAACCAAAGGCAGCAATTTGTTTTATTTAAACCAAAAAGAGTTTATTTAAGAAAAATATCTAAATCTCAATAAGAACAGTTAGTTATCTACAAGGGAGCTCCCATAAGACTATCAGCTGATTTCTCAACAGAAACTTTGCAGGTCAGAAGGTATCAGCAAGAAATATATAAGTGATAAAAAGCAAGGACCTACAATCGAGATTACCCAGAAAAGCTATCATTTAGAATTATAGGACAGATAAAGTGCTTCCCAGACAAGAAAAAGCTAAAGGAGTTCATCACCACCAAACCAGTATTACAAGAAATGTTAAAGGTTCTTCTTTTCAAAGAAGATAAAAAATGTGAATAAAATGGCAATAAATACTTATATATCAACAATTATTTTAAATGCAAGTGGATTAAATGCTCCAACCAAAAGTTATGCAGAGACTGAATGAATAACAAAACAAGACCTTTACATATGCTGTCCAAAAAAGACTCACTTCAGATCAAAAGACACACACAGACTGAAAGTAAAGGGATGGAAAACAATATTTCATAACAGTGGAAACAAACTTTTTAAAAAGCTGGCATAGGACTATCTATGCCAGACAAAATAGACTATGCTAAATTTTTAATGCAATTAAGGGACCACTGGGGCAACATCAAATGTACCAACATTTTCATCAAAGGGGTCTCAGAAGGAGATGGGAGAGAGAAAGGGATTGAAAACATATTTGAAGAAATAATGACTAAAAACTTCATGAATCAGTCAAACGAAATAGATATACAAGTTCAGAAAGCACAGAGTCCCAAACAAGATAAACCCAAAGAGGCCCACACCAAGATACATCATAATTAAAATGTCAAAAGTTAAAGACAAAAAGAGAATCTTAAAAGTAGTAAGAGGAAAGAAGTTATGTACAAGGGAGCTCATATGAAGTTATTGGCTGATTTTTCAACAGAAACTTTTCAGGCAACAAGAGAATGGCAGAAAATATTCAGTGATGAAAGAAAAAACCTACAATCAAAATTACTCTACACAGTAAGGCTATCATTTAAAATTGAAGGAGAGATAAGTTTTCCAAACAAGAAAAAGCTAAAGGACTTCATTACCACTAAACCAGTATTACCAGAAATGTTAAAGGGACTTCTTTAAATAGAAAAAGAGAATAAAATATGAATAAAAATATATAGAAAAAAATCTCACTGACAAAGGAAAACAGGAAAAGCAGTAGGTCAGACAACTATAAAGTTAGTACAAAGGTTAAAAGACAAAAATAGAAAGATTGTGTGTAATTACAACAATAAATTTAAGGTACACACAAAACACACACACAAAAGAGGTCAAACATAACGACAAAAGCATAAATGTGAAAGGGCAAGTAAAAATTGTAGTGAGTTTAGAAATGTGTCTGGATTTCAGAGACCATCAACTTAAAATTGACTGCTATTGCCTGGCCAGCATGGCTCATTGGTTGAGCATCAACATACAAACCAGGAGATCATGGTTCAATTCCCAGTCAAGATACATGCCCAGCTTGCATGCTCGACCCTTAGGGATCCCCAGTGTGGGGCATGCAGGAGGCAGCCAAGCAATGATTCTTTCCATCATTGATTTTTCTATCTCTCTCTCCCTCTCCCTTCCTCTCTGAAATCAATAAAAATATTTTTTTAATTTGCTATCAACATAGATTGGTATATATGAAGCACATGATAACCAAAAACCAAAAATCTATATGAGATATACAAAAAACAAAGACAAAGGAATCAAAACACAAAACTATAGAAAGACATCAACATGCAAGAGAATAAGAAATGAACAGAGAATTACAAAAACAATCAGAAAAAAATTAATAAAATGGCAATAACTACATTCCTATCAATTATTACTTTAAATGTAAATGTACGAAATATTCCAATCAAAAGGGTGGCTGAATGGATAAGAAAACAAGACCCCTACATATGCTATCTATGAGATTCAGTTCAGATCAAAAGACACACACAGACTGAAAGTAAAAGGAGGAAAAAGATATTTCATGCAAATGAAAATGAAAAAAGCTGGGGTAACAATAGTTCTATCAGACAAAATAGACTTTAAAACAAAAGTTGTAAGAAGAGAAAAAAAAGGAATTTCACAGTAATGGGACCCATTCACCAGGAGGATACAACTCCTGCAAACATCTACACACCCAACATAGAATCACCCAAATATGAAAGCAAATACTGACAGACAGAAAAGAAGACAATAATAGTAGGAGACTGTACCACCCCATTGACATCAATGGATAAATCATCCAGACAGAAAATCAACAAGAAAACAGTGGCTTTAAATGACACATTAGATCAAATGAAATTGATATTTTAAAGATATTTCACCACAAAGCATTAGAATATACATTCTTTTCAAGTGCACATGGAACATTATTTCACAAAATGTCTCAATAAATTTAAGAAGATTGAAATCATATCAAACATCTTCGCCAATCACAATGGTATGAAAATACAAATCAATTACAAGAAAAAAGTTATGAAGCACAATCCAAAACCAATGGGACACATCCAAAGAAATTCTAAGAAAGAAATGCAGAGCAATACAAGCCTACATGATAAAACAACCAAAATCTTAAACAATCTAACCTTACACCTAAGAAGCTAGAATAAAAAGAATAAAGCCCAAAGCAAGTGGAAGGAAGAAAATAATAATGATAAGAGTGAAAATAAAATAGAGACTAAAAAAATAATAGAAAATAACCAATGAAACCAAGAGCTGGTTCTTTGAAAATATAAACAAAACGTATAAAGCCTTGACCCAGACTCATCAAGAAAAACAAATGACCCAACTAAATAAAATCAGAAATGAAAGAGAAGTGTCAACCAACACCACAAAAATACTAAGAATCACCAGGAAATACTATGAAAAATTACATGCCAACAAATTGGACAACCTGGAAGAAATGCATAGATTCCTAGAAATATGTAATCTTCCAAAACTGAATCAGATATAAACAAAAAGTCTAAACAGACCAATAACTAGTAACAAAAATAAAATTAGTAACAAATAACTCCCAACAAACAAAACTCCTGGGCTAGATGGCTTCACAGGTGGGTTTTACAAAACAGTCAAAAAGAATTAATACCTATCCTTCTCAAATCAACAAGATTAAAAAAAAATTGCCCTAGTCAGTTTGGCTCAGTGGATATGGCGTCTGCCTGCAGACTGAAGGGTCCCGGGTTTGATTTCAGTCAAGGGCACATAACCTCGGTTGCAGGGTCCTCCCTGGCCTGGGCCCTGGTCAGGGCTCATGCAGGAGGCAGCCAATCGATGTGTTTCTCTCACATCAGTATTTCTCTCTGTCTTGCCCTTTCTCTTTCACTCTCTCTAAAAATCAATGGAAAAATATCCTTGGGTGAGGATAAAAATAAAAAATAAAAAGACACAGAGAACAGATTGATGTTTACCAGAGGGTTGGGAGTTAGAAGTTTGGGGAACTGGGTAGAAAAGGTAAAGAGATTAAAAAATACAAATTGGTAGTTACAAAATAGTCACAGGATGTGAAGTGCCGCAAAGGGAATATAGTCGATAATATTGTAATAACTATTATGTAAAAAGTACCATGTTGGTACTTGAAATATTGGGGGGGGGGGGGGTCACTTTGTAAAGTATCTGACTGTCTCTAACCACTATGCTATACACCTGAAATTACTACAAAATAATATTGAATGTAAACTATAAAAATAAAAAATTTTTAAACAAGCATTAAATCCGCTCTCAGATATCTCTGAGTACAAATCTTAGAAAGCTCTTTAACCCTCAGTTTCCTATTTATGAGGGTATAACACTCTTCTCTCAGAGTTATTGTGGGGATTAAGTTAAATAATGTACATAAACACAATAAACTTGTATGTGATTAAGTCTTCAAAAAACTGATGTGTGTGTAAAAAAAAAGAAATTAAGAAAACAATCCCACCCTAGCTGGTTTGGCTCAGTGGATAGAGTGTCGGCCTGCGGACTGAAGGGTCCCAGGTTCGATTCCGGCCAAGGGCACATGCCTACGTTGCGGGCTCAATCCCCAGTCGGGGATATGCAGGAGGCAGCCAATCAGTGATTCTCTCTCATCATTGATGTTTCTATCTCTCTCTCCCTCTTCCTTCCTCTCTTAAATCAATAAAGAAATATATTTAAAAAAAAAAAAAAAAAGAAAACAATCCCATTTACAGTTACATAAAAAAATGCGTAGGAATAAATTTAAGCAAGATTCTACCAAAAATTATTAAAACTAATAAATGAATTCAGCAAAGCAAGATACAAAATTAATATTAAGAAATTGGTTGCATTTTTATACATCAGTTATGAGCTATCATAAAGAGAAATATTTTAAAATCCCATTTAAAATTGCATCAAAGCCCTAGCTGGTGTGGTTCAGTGAATAGAGTGTCTGCCTGCAGACTGAAGGGTCCCAGGTTCGATTTCAGTCAAGGGCACATACTTCGGTTGCAAGGTCCTCCCTGGCCCAGGCCCTGGTTCAGGCTCGTGCAGGAGGCAACCAATCAATGTGTTTCTCTCACATTGATGTTTCTCTCTGTCTTTCCCTCTCTCTTCCACACTCTCTGAAAATCAATGGAAAAAACCTCAGGTG